AAGCACGTGAACCTCGGAATAAAATCGCCGTGTCATCCTTGTCTCCCCAGTTGGTTTGCATCCCCTTTACACAAGCTTAAAATTACTTTTATATACATTATACTTGTGTAGTTGCTCTTGTAATTAGTTGACTTGTGTAGTTGGCTAGTTACCTTCTTGCTTGTGTAGCATAGAAGTAGCTCCCTTGCATGGCTAATTTAGTTTGAGTAACCTTGTTAGTCACATTGCTTAGTTTGTGTAGTTAAGTAATTTGTGCTCTATAATTTGGCTTGTGTAGCCTTGTTATTGAGCATTGCTAGTGAGCTTAGAAACTTTGTGCTTTTTGCTTACTAGATTGTGTAGGAGCTCCATCGGTTGTGTAAAGTACTAGTGCATCGGTTTGTGTGATATTGCTCTAGAATTGTTTAGGTGAGCTCTACCTAGCCCTACACCTTTGTTGTCTAATTAGGATCTTCATAAGGTGCTTGTGAACTTAGATAGAGGGGTGTAGTCTTATCTAGACCGATAGTCTTATTTTCGCATTTATTTTGGTTAGCTGGTGTGTTTAATTTTAGAAAGGACTATTCACCCCCCTCTAGTCCACCATCTTGACCCTACATCGGTGTGAGGTGTGGCAATGCACCCAACCACCCATGTTCAAGTCATGTCTTGGACTTGAATTTTGGGTGCCTATTTTCTCTTCTTAATGAAAAACCATCTAGTTCCTTCTAGGTTGGATCTCTTGTTTTATCGTAGCATCTTGTATCCGATCATGCCCTCTGATTTAACCCACCAAATATAGACTCAGCTCAACTTGTGTCCACAAGTGTAACTAACCAAACACTCATCTTCTAAAAAATACGGATGACCACGACCTGCATCCACTCATCCTAAATATACAATGCAATCCTCATCCGACAACCAAACACACTCTTATGATTGCCGCGTCTCACAGCCATTTGCCCACCAAGCTTCAAAGCCAAACTAACCGTAGTAGTAAAGATGTACACATCACACATGACACATATAATAAATATATAAATATGCACAATATCCATCGAAACCACCCTGTTGAATGATACTTGTGGCGTGTTTGTTTACTATTATGGTAATGCTCCAATTAAGACATCCGGAATGGATGAACGCCTCACTCGCTCACTCCCGCACCCAGTTCCTCGCTTCCTCCTCCCTTCCGCGTTCGCACCCCGCGCCTACCCCAACGCGCAGCCATGGCTGCCTCCCTGGCCGTCGGCGGCGCACTCCCCACCCCGACATCCTCCTTCACCCCGGCGGCGATGCGCTCACCCACCCAGCGTCCTCCTCCCCCACCCTAGTGGCCTCCTCCCCCACCCCGGCGGCGCTCCTCCCCCCACCATGTCATTGGGTGCGCCCAACGCCAGCAGATGCGGTGACCCTCTCCTCCACCTAGGCGAGATCCATGGAGCACGAGCAAGATTCATGGAGGTGGCATGGCGGTATTGCAGAGGAGTGGGCGGCTTTGCCCCTCCCCACCCTCGGCGGCACCCTCTCTCACCCTGGCGACCGAGCCTTGTAAACTAATTTTAAATCTAACACTGTTTGTTTTTATTTCCAAAACTAACACTTTTGGGCACGCCTATTTCCATGGCGTGGCGAAACGTCTGTGCCACGCCATGCATGGTGGCGCGGTGGGAGGATGATGTGGCGAAGACCGAGAGCGCTTACCGGTGACGTGGCAGGGCCTGCCACGCCACGGATCGAGCGCGCGCGCGAGCCGCCAAGATCGGTGGCGGCGAGCCGAGTATGCCCGCCGCTTCTGCCATTGCCAGCGCTGCATGTCTAGGCAAGCTCAAGACTGACATGAAAAGCGTCCTCCAAAGTCCCAAAGCGGTGGGTGCAGTGCGCGCACGAGCATCGATGCGGTAGTAGTACCCACACTCATCTCGACTCTAGCTCGTGTGCTCTCTCCTCTCGCTGTCGTTATGGATGGATGGATGGATGATGTGACGTTAAATAATGGAAACAACACAGATGTCACCACCAGACTGCCTAGCTAATCTAATCCCCTAGCAAAAGCATCACATGATGGCAGGAGTAGCTAGCATCGCACTAGCTCAGCTCTACATCTACACTAGTACGTCTACCACTAGTAACCTAACCTATTTTTTATTTGGTAATACACTAATTTATTTGGGATGGCATGGCAGATGTTCTCCCAGCACGCGTTGTGCTGGAACGTCTTGCCATTGTCGAGCTCGAGCTAGTGTGAGTGTAGATGTAGTGCTGAGCTAGTGCAATGCTAGTGGTAGACGTACTAGTGTAGATGTAGATGTAGTGTTGAGCTAGTACTAGCTAGTGCGATGCTGAGATAAATTGGTGTATTACCAAATAAAAAATAGGTTAGGTTACTAGTGGTAGACGTACTAGTGTAGATGTAGTGCTGAGCTAGTGCGATGCTAGCTACTCCTGTCATCATGTGATACTTTTGCTTGGGGATTAGATTAGCTAGGCAGTCTGGAGGTGACATCCATGCTGTTTCCATTATTTAACGTCACATCATCCATCCATCCATCCATAACGACAAATGGAGAGAGCACGCGAGCTAGAGTTAGAGGTATGTGTGGGTACTACTATCGGCATCGGATGTGTCGGCACACACGTGCACCCACTGTTTGGGACTTAACGCACCGATCGCTTTTCATGTCGTGTCCTGAAGCTCGCCATGTGCATGCGCTGTAGCCAGCAAGTGGGCGGGCGTGCACTTGCTCACCAGCATTATTCGTGGCGCGGCAGGCCCTGTAACATCACCGGTCAGCGCTCCCGATCTTCGTCATGTCATCCTCCCGTCGCGCCACCATGCATGGCGCGACACAGGCGTTTCACCGCGCCATGGCAATAGGCGCGGTTTTGGAAATAAAAAACAAACAGTGTTAGATTTAAAATTAGTTTACAAAAAATGTTAAAAATAAAAAAAATTCCACATGTATGTCTCAAGTGTTTCAGACATTTTAGATGTATATTACATTTGTTTCATATGGATGTTGCAAAAGTAGATCGGGGGATGTTGCACATGTTGCATATATTACAATTGTTTCATAGGAATGTTGCAAGCGTAAGTTTCGAGTGTTTCAAATGTTTCAGATATATGTTTCATCTGTGTTTTTCGACGCATGTTATAAGTGTGTTTATCTGGATATTGCATATGTTTCACACATACATACGTTGCATGTGTTTTATTTGGACGTTACGTATGATTGCAATGGTTTTTAAGTATTTTCAGGTGTTTTTTCAAGTGTTATAGAAGCATGTTTGAAGTGTTTCAACTGACTTCAGATATATATTGCAACTGTTGTAATTAGATGTTTCAAAAGTAGATCGGGTGTTGCATCTCTCCTCCTAACCTTCTGCTGCATCGTCTCTCCCGGCACCGGCAGGGCATCCATACGATGTCGAGACCGGGTCCTTCCGAATCAGAGGCGCCATGCGCCCTTCACCTCTTTGTCGCTCGGGCGGCGCGGGCCCCGCGTGGAACGCGAAACGGAGTGCAGTGCGCAGGCGTCCGGATGCGGGCATCCGTCCGGATGTCCGGACGCTAGCACTACCATTACTACTAATCTCTCCATTAGCCCTCCTAATGATGGCCGTTCTCGTCCGCTAATGGCGCCGCGTGCCAATGATGAGGGATGCTGGGATGGGTTGTTGGCTTGTTGCGCTAGCTTGATTTGACGGGAGAGCGAGCGAACGAGTGCGGGGACGTGTAAAGATTAAAGAAGGGGGCACGCCATTACGAATAAGGCGATGCACTTGAGAGCTCCCCAGATGGATGGATGGATGGTCCAGGGGCCCTGGCCTGGCCCATACCGTCCACTCACAAAGATTCCCCAATCTCAAGCCGTGGAGACTTCTTGCAAGCGGGTTGCTTTGCTCTGCAGTCCGCACGCTAGCCATTGCTTGCACGATGCTTTGCATTGCCATGTGCTGCTTGGGGCCTATAGCAAAAATTTGTAGGCAAATTTACTAGAGATAGTACTAAAATCATACACATAGTCAACACGGTGGTGTTTGATTTTTTTCCCCATATAAACTGCAAGAGAGATGGGTAACATGTTGGCGACGAACCTTCAACATGGCCTAGAATTACAACGAAACTGCTTCACCATGGGATGTTAGGCATGACCGTACCGCCGAACTTATAAAAGGAAAATGTGACGAAATTTCGTACTTCTTGTGTCTTTAAAAAACAAAGGCCTACCTTACTACTATGGAAAGCATTTTGACAGTAAAAAAAAAAGCATTTTTAGGTATTGATATTTTTTTATTTACAAAATGAGCAGACCGGCCACCTCTATCAAATATGTCTCTGTTAATGAGTCATTTGCACATACGGACATCCCCAACTAACTAATACTCCCTCCATCCCAAATTGTAAGTCATTCCAAGAATCTTGGAGAGTCAAAGTTTTTCAAGTTTGACCAAATTTATATAACAAAATAATAATATTTATCATACCAAGTAAGTATCATTAGATTCTTCATTAGTTATATTTTCATATTATACCTATTTGATGTCATCAATCTTTGTGTTTCTCTCTATAATTCTAGTCAAACTTGAAAAAGTTTGACTCTCCAAGATTCTTGGAATGACTTACAATTTGGGATGGAGGGAGTATCATGTAGTGGTCATACAGACATATATATATATAATGGTATTTTTTTAGGGAAAAATATATATTTGTATTTCTAGATTCTTTTTTGCGTAATTGTAATGATGGATAATTTATCAGCAAGTAGAGAGGTACTTTAATTTTATTCTGATTAGCATGGTAACTTTTAGGCCTTGAGAATTTACATGGAGTCTTCTTTTATTGGCCAAATACTCTGATAATATATCCCGAGCACAATACTATTCAATAAGCAAAAGCAATGAAAACCAATATTGTATGGACACAGTAACATAAGTTGATATGTTTAACAAAATAAATGGACAAATTACTGTGGAAACACACACACATTCATAGAACAATCCTCCAACCGCCATCTTCATTACTCAGATGCTGTTCTTGTCGGCGTCTTCGACTTTCCAATGAGGAATTTAGGCCTTCTAGAATGCGCATCGACTTGCCTCTGCAATATCCTAATCAGACTCCCCTGCTCACCACAATTCTTAAGAACAAGCTCCGTAAGGTTCGGCAGGTGTGTCACTCCAGACAAGCCATGCTCATTGTTTTGTAGTGATGGGCACCTTTTCAGCCAAAGTTGTTCCAGCTGAGGCATTGCCTGTTGGTGGATTATCACCTTTTCAGTCTTCCCTAGCCCACCAATGTCAAGGAACTTGAGTTTTAAGAATGTATCAGCAAAGAATTCCAATGAGTCACCTTCATATGACTTCTCCCAGAGACCTAGCAAAGCCAGGTTACGCAAGTTTTGGAGGTGCAGAATGTCTTGCTGCTTCAGCTGTGTTCCCAGCAGCTTCACCTTCGCTAAATTGTTGAGTGAACTGATCCATTCAGGCAGCTTGGTGAGGTTACCACACAGCCTCAATGAAGTTAGATGTGTTGGTATTGCTGATTCATGCATTCTGTCAAGAAAATCAAGTGAATCAGAGCGCAGCTCGAGGCTTTGCAATCGATCGAGCTCTCCTATCGACTTGCACAGCTCATCTCCTTCTTTCTCCGTAAGACCTGTGACCCTGGCCCCTAACCTTCGCAAATTCATCAAGTTTGCCAGCTTCGTAAGCCTCCTTGACACACCATTTCCCTTACCAACATTGGCCACCCCTAGCACGTGCAAGTTCTTCAGCTTCTCGATCCCTTTGGGGGCTCTCACGCTAAACTGGTCCGCATTGAAAACTTTGCAGCATCCTCTTCTGAAAATGCGTCCGTTATGGTTGCCATTCCCTGGCTCCGCCATCTTCTCATGCAACTTTTGGAAGTTGACTCCAGAAAGAAGATAACGCATCTTTTCCAGTTTGGCAATTCCTCTGGGGAGTTGTGTCACTTGTGTGTCTTGGATGTCTAATGTCTCCAGGTATCGAAGCTTCTGCAAGGAAGATGGAAGTTTCGAAATATTTGTTCGTCGCAGGGACAGATACCTTAGGTGTTGTAGCTCCCCTATGTGCTTGAGGTCACCATTCTTCAAATTGTCTGTGTCCTCCAGGTCCAGCACTCGCAACAGCTGCATCTTGGGAGAAATGAGAGAAGCAGGGCACTCACCAAAGATTGTCAACGATCGGATATATGAAAAGTTTATGTTTTCCAATTTCTCGTCCCTCGTCTTCCATCTGGACACCACCAGGTGACGTATCTTACTCTGTGGAACCTCAATACTGGAGTGCTTCTCAACGAAGAATAGTTGGTTCTCCTCAATAGACTTGGGCAGGATGATCTGCAGCAGCATGCTGTGAACCCGGCAGCGAGTAGCTTTTATTGATCCATGGCCAACCTTGCAAGGTTGGATCATGCTTCTATTAATGAGCTCGCTGAAGAAACGCTCTCCTACATCCTCCGTGGGCATGTCACGGTTCCTTGCTATGTGACCTTCTGCCATCCACCGTCTCAACAAGCGGGTGCGTCTCATCACATGGTTCACAGGGAATATACTGAGGTACAAGAAGATGGATTTCAGGTGATACGGCAAGCCATCGTAACTAGATTCTATCACATTCGGGATTCTGCGGAGGTCAGAACCCAGCTCTGCCCCAAGGTGTTCGTGCATATTCCTCCATTCTATGCTTGTTTTAGGCCTGTTGGCTAGGAGACCTCCTATTGTAGATATAGCAAGGGGAAGCCCATGGCATACAGTTAAAATTTGGTTGGCTTGCTCCACCATGTCCTCTGGTAATGTGTACTCAGCAGATTTGTAGACCTACAAATGATTGAAATGAAATAGATAAAGTGCCCTGCAAAAATATAGGGCTTAAGTGCAATAGAGGCATTGACAAGGTGATTGTGAAATTCTTTGTACTTAGAGCATCTCCGAGAGTTTTTCTAAAGTTTACTCTCTAAATCATTATTTGGAGAGTCATTTGAGTTAAAATCGTTTTCTATATCTTTGTATCCCTCAACAACTTTTATATATGATTCTCGCTCTCCATCTTTCACTAGCGATAAATCTTGAATAGAGAATGTCTATATTTAGAGATCCAATTAAAAGATGTTGTTGAAGGATATTTTTTCACCAAAATCTCTATTTCTATAAATTAAAAAGAATATAAAGGGTCTCTTAGAGTTGCTCTTAGGGCCTCTTTGGATTGCTCCATTTCACCAGTTTCAGATCCACTCTAAAATTTCCATCTTGGATTGCTCCATAATGGAGTTATATTAGAGCGACTTGTAACCTATATTAGTATCAATTACTTCTATTCTATTTTCTAAAAAGCTACCACCCCTAACATTACAAAAAAAACATACAAATGTCCCCTATATCCATGTCTAAATTACCATATGTGCCAGTATGAAAAATAAACCAAAGTAACCCCTTATCTTCATCTAACTTACTCACCTATGCCACTATAAGAAATAATATACAATAATAGCTAAATTTCCATCTAAATCACTTGTACTATAATTATTAAATACTCCCTTTTCCTAAAGTTTATTTTCTAAAAAGAAATTGTTATAAGTCAATCTTCTCTAACTTTGACTAAATTTATAGAAAAATGATCAAATATCTGCGACAACAAAATAGTTCTGACTAGATGAGATCGTCCAGCTTTCTGCGCCGCTTGACCCGCCCTCTCGCAGGTCACTGACTTGGCGACTCCTTTGCGCTAAGTGCCGTCACCCCCGCCGTCCACCACCGCTGGTCCGATCCCCCTCCCTTCCCCTCCAGCAACTCGCCGGATGCGGAGGGAGTGGAGATCCACCATTTTTAATAAGTTTTTTAGTAAATCGAGTCCTTAGGGTTAGGGTCTCTCCAAGCCAAATTTCTTGGTATTGGGAATTTATCTCCTCCACCACCTCTTCGACGACGGCGAGGGGACAGGGTGGAATCGTTTTCTCCATGGCGGCTCTATTGAAAGATGATGGCGACAACTACGGCGTTAGCAACTTCACCGGCATGATGACATGGAGACTTTTCTTTCTGAACGGTGACATCAAAACAGAGATAATGTTGCCGCTATGGAATAATTTTCTCCGGTCTCTTCTCTATTTTGTTGTGGTTAGATCTGGCCACGATGAAGGACTAGGGAGAATAAGTTTCACATCAGTCTTCCTCATTCTTCGGTGGCAGAAAGAAGAAGGAAGACACCAGAAAGAAAAAGTTTCTCAATTCGGCCTGCAGGAATGTTGGCCATTGTTCGTTGGGCATCTGTTCTCAAGCTTTTTACTGAGTATTTGCCTGTGCAGTCATCCATAAGATGCATGCAGGTTTGGTTTTGAGATTTGGAGCTATTCACAGTGTGAGTGCAATTTAGATGAAAATCAGTTTCTGGATATATGTTATGTATTCCAGAGTGCTTGTAACGTGTTGATGTACCCAGTTTTATCTAATATAATTCTTCTTTCGTCGAAAAAAATAGTTCTGACTAGATCCGTCATGCATGATATATACCTTGGCAGTGAATGTGTTTGGTATTATAGGTATTATTAATATAGTTTCTATAAATTTGATCAAACTTAGAGAAGTCATTTGATTTATGACAAAACAAAAACAATGACCTACATCATGGAACAAAGGGAATGTAACCTAAAGTAACGCTTTAAAATGCATCTGTATTACTACTCTCATTAAAAAAATAATCCTGAAGACAATAAATATGCTTCTAATTACCCATTTCTACTGATGAATGTATGGAGAAACTAAATCAAGGTATACATGCATCCATGATGCCATGCAAACAATGTATACATGTATGTTGGAACTTACGAACATAGCAATTATCAAGCCAAACACATAGGATAAGCTAAGAATTTAAATAAACGCATGTCAAATACACATGGAGGTGCCATGTAAAAGAGAGAAACAATAAATGAAGATGGAAAACAATGTTAGAGCAAATAATTATAGTCCATCGCAACCACATAAATATTACAAAGTGTTTATATGATTATATTTTTAAAATGTGAACAAATGAGGCCGACTACCTATAGGTCAACATTTATATATCCACAAACTTGACACATTTGTGTCTATGGAATCAATTAGCCCATGTAGAAGTATAGGTCTATGGACTACTAAAACCCAAAAAGTGCTTATTGGAGTCTAGCTGCTTATATAAAGTTGTGTATCTTGCACTAATGATCATGGCTCTAGGTGTGCATATAAAAGTCGTGCATCTCTAATTAATGAGCACAGATGCGGTTCGGGAAAGACACTACAGATATATTTTACCTCCCAATGACCTAAAACACACCTACATACTCCATCATACACAAATATATGCATGTCTAAGTTTGTCAAAGTCAAACTATATATTTTAAGTTTGACAAAGTGTATAAAGAAGAAGGATATAGTATTTATGATACCAAGTGAGTGTCATCCAATTCTTTAGTTTTGATATATAATAATACTCTTCTCCATAAAGCTGTCAAAATTAGGGACAGCTTGACTTAGGACACTTATGCATGTAGATGGAGGGATTAGCCTACATTATAATTGCAATATGATGTGAGCTTTTCAATTTATGGCATGTTTTGATAATAAGATAGAGATTATAAGGATCATGATTATGTGGCAATGGATTATACAATCAAGATAGTGAAAAGATCAATCTAGAAATTGTTTGGATCACTAGATTATATAGGTGGTTGGAATATGAGTTGTTGATAACACCCATGCTTTGCGATAGAAGAAGGAATAAGATGAGGGGACAAAGTCATCTTTTTGATTAATTTTCTCCTTTTAACTAGGTTGAGCTGTATTATAGGTTAAGGATCCTGGTTGGTAGGCTTTATAATCTGATCCATAATCTAGCATGTTTGGATGTGATAGAAAAAAAATTCATACTTTTATAATCTTTATCGCATCCAACCATACCCTTATATATCTTACTATTATTAACTAGAGGCCCTAACGGAGTCTCGCATCAATCCTCACCAAATACACTAGAAAAAAGATAAATCCTAAAAATTCTCATAATAATAAGAAACATCGGGGCTTTAATTTTGTAGACTCTAATCATCATCGACAATACTAGCCATTGGATCTATTCTATTTTATATAAAAAAGTACCCACCTATGTCATTATAAAAAAATATATAAAGTAATCATCTAAATTTGTATCTAAATTGTTCACCTATGCTATTATGAAATGTAGTTTATTTTTTTAAAAAAAATCGGTCGATGGGGAAAGACTGCCCCCCGTGGTATTTCAGTATTTCACTAAGAGCTCAACCGGCCCGGCCGAGAAAGGTCACGAAAGCTTGGCACCTTTATACATGGGGACGTTGCCTCCTATGGTTCAGGCCTTGATCCGTGCTTTGAGGCCCAAAACTCACTACCAGCCTCTTACACAAGGGCCCACCCACCATAGTTCGGTTCACCCATGCCGATCAAGGAACTAGCAAATGACCTTTTTTACCCAGCCTAAAATTCACTCACATGGGATTCAAATCTAGGACCTAGGATGCTACTGAAAACACAGCAACCACTAGGCTTACAATTAAATTACTATAGTATTAATGTGACATAATGTTTTACTCAAAATGTGCAAACTTATTTAACACCTTAAAAATTTATTGTCATGGAGTATATTAATACAATTTTATTGACAGTGTCATTGATATGTGGTTTGTTTTATAAATTTAATCCTTTGATATAACTTCAACACCTTGAGTGTCATGGTGCAGGCTAAAACAATTGTTTATGAAATTGTAGTTACTAAGAGTATAGCCTAAGACTTAAGCTAACTTGAGAATAAAAAAAATGTAGCGACTAATAACATCAAATTCTAGATTCATGATGCCACGAGATTGGGTAATGGGTTGCAATGAGATTTGCTATAATTTAAGCAAGGTTTCAACTAAATGCGTATTGAAGATTCAGAGAGGTTCCATGCAAAGCGAAAAACATATAGACTAGTAATTAACTAGATTGAGATTATAGAGTGTTTATATGTGTTAGAAAATAATAAATAAATATTTTTTTGCGAATTACACAATACAAACGACATAGACGCCCACAGCATATCCTATGAATGGACGCTCGCGCAAATTATTAATTAATCGGTAAAAATAAAAATTACACACTTCCATAAGAGAAGGGTGCCAAGTATAAGATACAGCGTACCTTCCGACACAGGAGATCCATGGATTCCACATCCCCTAGTTGCTTCAGCTCGTAGACATGCCCATGCCCCTCCGCAGCATAGGCCGCGCAGTGCCGAGCGACGTCCTCCCGGCGCGTCGTCACGATGATAAGGCTTCCCTCCTTGTTGCCGGTTTGAAAAACCTTCCATACGTGCTCCCACTCCTCCTGGCTAAGTAGGTCGTCTACTATGACCCGGTACCGTTTCGCCCTGAGGTACTCCCCCAGCTCCGCTACGCCGAGCTCCCTCTTCAGCCGCTGCGCGAACACGTCGGGGTTGTCGAGCGGGTGCGGCACGGTGACCCACGCGCCACAGTCGAACTCGTCGAGGAGGGCCGCGTCGTTGTGCACCATGCGCACCAGCGAGGACTTCCCCATGCCGCCCATCCCCCAGACGGACACCAGTCTCAGCCCTCTCAGCTCGGGGTTTCCGCCAGAGATCTGGTCGATCAGCGCCTGCTTCTCTTCCTCGCGGCCGATGATTTCCGACACCTGGAACGCGAGCTCGTCCGAGCGCATGTCGTAGTCGGGGAGCACGGGCTGTACCTCGACGCGGGCCGCCGGATTGTCGAAGACGATGTGGTATCGCTGGTTGCGCTGGTTCAGCTCCTCGACACTGGCCTTGAGGTCCCGTATCCGTTGCGCGATCCGGTGTCGCTCGGCGATGGCGCCGGGGAGCCAGGCGCCGGCCCGCGACGAGGAGGTCCTGACCGCGTAGAGCGCGAAGTCGAGCAGGCAGTCCTCGACGTCGTACGCGAGGTCGCGCACCTGCTTCACCCAAGTCTTCACGATGTCGTTGCGCACGGTGGCCTCGGGATGGGCCGATGCCACCTTGAGGAAGGCCTGCATCATCTCCAGCTCGTTGCGGATGAAGTCTACCTCCTTGGGGACCCCGATGAGGCGCGCGACCTCATCGGCGATCGCAGAACCGGCGCTGCTTATGACGCCGTCCAGAACGGACCTCGCCAAGCTCAGGGCGGTGGCCTCCATCTCGTGTGGGCGTGTGGCCGAGTTATTTGTGGTTCGCACCTGCCCACTAAGCAGGGGGCGGGTGTTGCTTTTATAACTTTTGCGGGCATATGAACGGTCACTGTTACTTCGATGTTAAGAGTACACAATAGTGACACGCTCAATGGTGACGCCGTGACCGACCTTGACACGCATGCAAAGTTGACCTTGGTGATGGATCGAAGATACTCCCTCAATCTACGCAGACTTCCCCCTCGGGTGTTGATGAATTTATCAGCCAGCTTATCACCTAGAATCTACAGTATTTTTCTCTCACAATAAAACAGCTTCAGCCGGCTTTAATACCAGCCGAACAGGTTATGGGCGCTGGCTTACTCAGTACACCACCACGTGACGACAATCCGGTCATGGTCAGCAACACCTCCGTCGCTCGTCGCCTCAAGAACTTCACCAAGCGAGTGTGGCCGAAGGTTGACTGCCCGCTAATTCGTCAGCCTTCCAAGCGGCCGTCGGCCGCTAAACCGGTGCTACCGCTATGGAGCAAACATCTAGCGGCTCAGAGCCTCTCTCGGGTGCCTGCTTCTAAGCGAAGTGAGATCCTAATCATGCAGCATACGGGCTTGGACACGGATCTATCATCACGTTGGGCTTGGCCACGGGTCTATCAACGCCAAGTGCATCGATAAGGAAGGCCTACAGCTACAAGGAGCTCTTCATGGCTGGACCGAATGCTTCCAAATGTCGAAGAACTGCATGTGTTCTTCCTAGATGAAAATATGTCGCGCATGCAACAGTGGAGACACAAGGCCACTTCTTAGGCTGCATCGCTGCCCATATCTCGGTTATCTACATTCTATGTAATACCGAAACTTGAATCCGTGTGCTAGGATGGTCCAGGCTCGGTTGTACTCATGTAGACCTCCTAAGGTGCTTGCCAGAAGCACGTAGTTTGTATAGTTAAACTCTTCCATCTTAATTACAATGATGCATAAATCTTTAGCGTATTTGAGGAAAAAAAATATATCAACTCTTTGTTGCCTGGAGTGAAGGGCAATATACTAGGTAGAAGGTGATAGGATTTTCCTCTTTGTTCATCACTTTTAACTCTGCAGTATGTAGTATTTTGGAAACGACCTTATAAACTTGCCCGTTTCATTTCAAAATCACCCACATCTAAATCCGCTACAACCGTCGTTACAAGAGCTAACTCATAGAATATTTTATTAAGTAAGAAAGAGAATAATGATAATCTGGCTCTTACGTTACATAACTTTTCTATACTAACATGTTTGATTAATTTAATCTTTTTTAAGTTCATATGAGCTAGCAAGTTGACTTTACTGTTGAGGCTACTCTTAGTGAGCGTCCTTAACGAAAATAGTGCATTTTACCTTATCCTCCCCCTCCGCACGGATCCTCAAAGACAATGTCGCGTTGTTCTCCTCCCCCACATGTTATGGGCGTTCTCAACATCGACTTGGGTGGTAGCTACTTGTTGGTTATTTTGGTTATGCAAAAATACTTTTGTGTTTTGAAAGAAATATGCTTATTCTCTCTCTTGTAGGTGGTACACTCACTTGTCTCTATTGGCTTTGCATATGGGTTGTCCTCCCGAAGCTCATTTCAGAGGCTTTAGTTGTAGTGCCACAACAATTAGTGCAAATAGTACGGTATTTTTCTTCTAGACACATGGTTGGCGATTAGTCTTAGAATTGATAATTATTTGAGTGCCAGGTTCTTTTTTTTTCTATTTAGGTCGTGTGCTTTTTGCAGAGGTCAGAAATGGATATTAAATTTTTATCAATCTGATGTAATGATTGTGATATAATAAAATTCTTCTTTCATAAAGAAAAAGTGGCGTGTCCAAAGTGACAAACAAAATGTCCATCACCTTTGAGCTTTAAAGCCAATCACTATTTAATTGTTTTGCATAGTGGTTGCTAGAGCAATCACGTGGACCTAGCTTTTGTCCTGCAGCCTTAAGCCCCCAATGGTATTCAATTTGGGCTTCTCCATTCTAAAGCTAAGATTTATAATAAGGTCGTATAGCCATCCATCGTCATTCCGATTTTGTCATAGTAGGATCTTAAACTTTTAGTTGCTAATGGTTTGCACCAATAGACTAAGTAGGGGGTTTGTCTTACAATATAACTTTAGTTTGATGGGTACATGTATGTCACCGGACCAATCAAGTTGACCTAATCATTTCTCTTGGAAAACTGAGCTTGTGCTCAGTTTGGACTTTTGCTCCGTTTTGGAGAGAAGACTTTGAAGTTTCTACAATCATTATATTCCTATTTTGTGAGAAAGGATCAAAAACTCTTAATTAATTGGGGCTTTTGCTTACTAACTTTGGCGATACATGCACGTTACCGCAATCATATTGCTTTTGCTTACACAATCTTGCCAAGTTACATTATTCTCAATAATCTTCATGCTTGCTAATTATTGGAGTTGATCTTGCCTGGTCAAGAAATTGACCTGGTCTTTATAGAAGGCTTAACAGCCACAACACACCTATAACTATATACAAAGGGTCTATAGCCCCAATGCAAGCCACCCGAGCTATAAGATGGAGTTATCGCTTCTCTCATTGGATAACATGAATTAGCTTCTTACCCTAAACCTACCGATCAAGGTTAGCTCAGGAGTAGCGCTGAAGACCAGAAACTAGCCGTCAGCACCTTGGATGGCCTTGCTCCTACATCAATGATCTTTGCAGGAACCTGACAATCCCCGAGATCCACATGTCATCATACACAGGTATAACTGGCCAGGTGATGTGGGAGGCATGACTACTGAACTCCGAAGAAAACTAAGGAGAAATTTCGTAGGTCCATTGGAACTCTAAAAATTCCATGTCCATTTAGGCGCTCTTTTGACGGGTGTGAGGGAAGTAAAATGCACTCTTATATTAGAAGAAACAAAGCAATGGATGTGGTGATATATAACTTGGCTGAAACTAACTGGTTATTGTGAGAAAGAAACACTGTAGCGGCTGGTTGATGAACAGCCAGCTGGTCTGGAACTTCCAGACAGCGAACGCGCCCTAAGCACAAAGCATGTCAGTTTTTCTCTGACGAGGCACAAGCCTCCCGGTCAACTACATAGGAAGTAGCAATTTAAGTGAAACCCTGCTCCACCAGTTGACCTGGAATTTATATGTAAATTGCTATTTGTCCTGGACGTAATTTGGTGTCACCGTTGACTGCAATTTACATGAAATTTCGTGCCCTTCAGAAAAAATGAGAGCAGAAACAGGAAAAGGAATTCAAGTTATATATATCAAGCACTTCCAGGAAGATGCTACTTCCACTGCAAAGCAAACAAAATCGAAACCCTGCTCCATATGTTCTATCTGATGCTAAAAAGATGATGTCTTAGACGGTGCTTACCACAATAAACTTTTGTGTATACCACAACATGCTCCACGTCTGATGCTAAAAACTACTCCCAACTTTTTTTATACATAGTTTTTATTATACACCGAGTTATACACCAAGCACTAGTAGACAATAGACTTTCAGTTTTTGCCTTTAGTCCCGACCAGAATTTGGTCCGGGAGTAATAGAAGATTTAGTCCCGGTTGATGGTTAGAATCCCCTGTCCAACGGATAGTGCATTTGCAGGAACCTGACAATCCCCGAGATCCACAAGTCATCATACACAGGTATAACCGGCCAGGTGATGTGGGAGGCATGACTACTGAACTCCGAAGAAAACTAAGGAGAAATTTCGTAGGTCCATTGGAACTTAAAAAAATCCGTATGTCTATTTGGGCGCTCTTTTGACGGGTGTGAGGGAAGTAAAATGCACTCTTATATTAGAAGAAACAAAGCAATGGATGTGGTGATATATAATCTGCAGGCTAAGGCTCCGTTCGCTGGTCTGAAACTTGGCTGAAATTGGCTGGTTGTTTTGAGACAGATACACTGTAGTGGCTCGTTGATAAAGAGTGCTTTGTGAGGAGGAGCAGCCGGCTGGTCTGAAAGACCAATGGTCTGAAAAGATGTCAGCTAAGGCACAAGCCTCCAGGTCAAGTACAAAGCATGTAGCAATTTTTTGCTCCACGAGGCACAAGCCTCCAGTCAACTAAATAGGAAGTAGTTGAATTTAAGTGAAACCCGTGCCCTTCAAAAAAAAATGAGAGCAGAAACAGGAAAAGGAATTTATATGTAAATTGCTATTTGTCCTGGACGTAATTTGGTGTCACCGTTGACTGCAATTGCCATGAAATTTTGTGCCCTTCAAAAAAAATGAGAGCAGAAACAACCCTGCTCCATATGTTCTAGCTGATGCTAAAAAGATGATGCCTTAGACGGTGCTTACCACAATAAACTTTTGTGTATACCACGGCATTCTCCACGTCTGATGCTAAAAACTACTCCCAACTTTTTTTATACATAGTTTTTATTATACACCGAGATATACACCAAGCACCAGTAGACAATAGACTTTTAGTTTTTTCTCTTTAGTCCGGGCCATAATTTGGCTCGAGAGTAATAGGAGATTTAGTCCCGGTTGAAACCACCAATCGGGATTAGAATCTCCTGTCCAACGGATAGTGTAGCAGATTTCCTACATCAATGATCTTTGTAGGAACCTGACAATCCCCGAGATCCACAAGTCATCATACACAGGTATAACCGGTCAGGTGATGTGGGAGGCATGACTACTGAACTCCGAAGAAAACTAATGAGAAATTTCGTAGGTCCATTGGAACTCTAAAAAATTCCGTATGTCCATTTGGGCGCTGTTTTGACGGGTGTGAGGGAAGTAAAATGCACTCTTATATTAGAAGAAACAAAGCAATGGATGTGGTGATATATAATCTGCAGGCTAAGTACAAAGCATGTCAGTTTTTCTCTGACGAGGCACAAGCCTCCAGGTCAACTAAATAGGAAGTAGCAATTTAAGTGAAACCCTGCTCCATTAGTTGACCTGGAATTTATATGTAAATTGCTATTTGTCTTGGACGTAATTTGGTGTCACCGTTGACTGCAATTTACATGAATTTTCGT